GATAAGAAGGGCCTGTAATCAGATACCCTCTCATTCACTATCTGCCATCTTGAAGACCTCATCCTCTATGAGGCTTTGCAGGCAGACAGGTGGCATCACATCCCAGCTCTGGCACCACCCACTATGTGTCCTGGGTCACATAGGTGCTTGTGTTGGCATGAACATTCTCAGGCATGCATAGAGATTACCTGAAGTCTTTTTTTCTCCTAAAACAATATTCTGTGTTTTCTGCCTCAGGTAGACCTACGTAGTGGGGGGAGGAGGACTGGCAATCAGAAACTTAACTTGCATGAGCCTCAGTTTCCTCATTTATAAAACGAGAGGAGTTTAATGCATAACTCAGAGAGTTATTGTGAGGACCGAGTCTGGTAAAGTATGGAAACCCCCTATAATTCCTCTTACGTGTTCATTTACTTCATGCATCCCACGTGTATTTATCGAGGACTGATGTGTCCTCAATAACCCAAGCACTTAGTTGGTAATTCCCTCCCCTCCACTCCCCACATGTGAATGCTTGAAAAATATTCCGCGAGTCCTTGCAATATCCTTATGAGAAGTAACAACTGCTATGATCCCTTTGATAGCAGAGGATGTTGAAACATAGAAAATACTTAGTGGAGAAATATAATTGCATACTTCAATTTCTTTTTTCAAGATAATCCATTCCTTCCAAAGAACTGCCTTTCTTTGATCCTGCTCAAACTGGCTGTCATTCCGAGGAATGAAGAGTTAGATTAGGGATGCTTTTGGCTTCCAGGACCATGAAGAGCCAGTCGTCCCCTTATGTGCGCACACAGCAGGCACCCCTAGGGGGCACTAGTGAGCCGGGCACGGGAAGAAGCGCTGACTGTACAGCACACAGAATGTTTAGGAGGGGGAGCAATATCTTTCTTCATAACAAGGAGGTCAGCCATCTGGCCTTGCCTGTGGGTGGGGTGGGCCTTGATCTACTTGATACGCTTTAAAGATGCTGACGCACTTGCCTGCCACCAAATATCTCATTAGTCTAACCTTTCGCCTCGTCATTAAAGACACTCCTTTGAGTCAAATCCAGTCTCCAAGAGGCTCTTGGTAAAGCACGTATTTAACATGAATGAATTGGTAAGATTAATGAGCAGTCCCTCTTGGACCCAGAGAGATCCATTTTTGGAAAAGGATTAGAAGGAAGGAGATGTGATCAGTCCTGAGCAAGCAGCCCAGAGGCTTGGGAGGAAGGGCTTGTGACCTGAAAACAAATCAGGGTTTTCAAAGCCCACCCTGAAAGTCGCCCTGCTCTCACTGTTTCTGCCCCCGGGCTCACTTTTCCTGGCTCTTTCAGCCTCCTTTATTTCAGAGTGCAGACCCCTGAGGCTGAGCTTCAGTCTGGGTCTGCCGGAGGGAAGCTTGTCTCCATTTCTCAGCTTCACCATGAAACTATGAGTCAGGTGGCCCCAGATTCTTTCCAGCTCATTGTCTCACTTTATCTCTGCAGCCGCTGCATCCTTCTTCTCCTGTCTCTTACTTCCTGGGTTTACTATCAAGGAAAGGGAAGAAAATGGAGCAGTTGGCTTCCGGGGAATGTTCCAGAAATACACAGCGAAGAAGAGAGGAGAGGGAGAAAGAGGCCAGGAAACAACTGACAGAATGAAGCTGTAGGGAGGCCCCAGGATTCAGCCCAGCAGCCCCAGCTCAGCTGCATCTTCCTCACAGCCCTTTCAACCCGCAGGGCTCCCTTAGCAATTCTCCAGAGATGCTCACTGCCCTGAAATACCTGGAGGGGAATGCCACGGGCGTTTGGAAAAATAATTCAGATCTTCAGTGTTACAGTTCCTACTGAATTATATTATAGCTTTTTCATCTTGTCCGACAAAATGTAAATACCTCACTTTATTTATTTTATTTTATTTTTTGGTAGTCTTTGGCTGGGGCTGGGTTTGAACCCATTGCCTCTGGTATATGGGGCCAGGGCCCTACTCCTTGAGCCACAGGCGTTGCCCAATACCTCACTTTAGAAAAAAAAAGGGGAGGGGGAGGCAGTGTCTGTGACTCAGAGGAGTAAAGCCTGGGCCCCATATGCTGGAGGTGGCGGGTTCAAACCCAGCCCCGGCCAAAAACTGCAAAAAAAAAAAAAAAAAA